CCTACTAAGAAGGCTGCTTCATTCAACGAGTCTGATGTCGCCGGCCATGATGTGGAAGAAATAGACTTCGGCAGCTCTTCCCTGAAAATCGGCGGGTTTCCTGCGGTCGACTACTTCGGCGATGGGTCATTCTACCTCCTAGACACGCCAGGGCACTTTTTCGGTCATATGTGTGGGCTCGCGAGGGCCACCAGTAATCCTGATAGTTTTATCCTAATGGGTGGTGATGCCATTCATCAGGGAGGTGAGCTTCGTCCACACCCCTGGCATCCACTTCCTGAACGTATTCCGCCCAATCCATTCAGTCCAACGTCGCATACGCCGTGTATTGGCGAGATCTTCGACAAACTTCTCCCTAATGGCAGGGAAGCCCCGTTCTATCACCCGAGCGAGAAGCCCGATAGTGTCCATGTTGACGTGAATAAGATGGCCGAAACGATCAAGCGGCTTCAAGAGTTCGACGCTCACGACAATATCTTACTTGTCCCCGCGCATGACGCGGCGTTCTTGAATGTTGCCGAATTTTTCCCTAATACCGCTAATGCGTTTATGGAGAAAGGCTGGGTAGAAAAGACAAGGTGGGCATGGCTAGCAGAATTCGCCAAAGCTGTTGGTGAGGATGAGAACATCCCCAGAAAGCTCTTTGGGGATGCTCGTCCCACCAGTATGGAAATATCATAAGCATATGTCATAAAGGAAGTGTAGCCGCGACCTAGTCCGTCCTACCGCTAGAGGACTAGCTATCAGCTACTCTATGGTGTAGCCATATTAGTATTCTTGTACATATAACATATACGTTGGTACCCCATGATTTTCGGGAGGCTTAGGAATCAATTGATGTATTTACTAGGCACCTAGCTATTACCATCATAGCCGTAGATGGGTCTATCAATTCACTATGGGGCTGAGCTTTCTTCTACCCACAATCGACGTGTAACATGCCACCATTGCTAGCCATAGAGGAAGTACATCACCTCATGGAAACTAGGTCTCTTTACCCGTGGAAGGTATAGAAACCTTGAGCAATTCTTCATTGCCTAATATCGATATGTATTGATGGAGCAAACCGGATCAGTGTTGAGGGTAGATACTACTAATTAGAGCTAAGAGGCTATGAGGAATAGGATTGTAGCACATGCCGGAATTGAGATGTTTGGATTTGTCTGTGTCACAAACCCAAGTATGAGGTAGGTAATAGACTCTTGTTGTTGCACAATGGTCTTAGAGCTGCGTGAGGCCAACCTAGGTATGTACATATACAAAAGTCTCTTTGTCTCTATGCCTTGCGACCGTCCAGTCTCGAGCGCAAACATGTGTAAAAAATGCCTGGGACGCACGGGCCTTGAAGTATAGGGCAAACATTTGGTCCATTGTCATATACAGGTCTGTGGGTGACTTAGTTAATTGGGTATGTGGTTTGCGTGGCTGGCCCGGAAAACCAAGTCTGGTGGTACCATCGACCATCCGGGTCATTAGCAATGCAGGACTGTATTCACTAACCCTAGGTCACTTGGAACCCTATATAATAAAATAAAATACCTGCGCCTGCACACAACAATCCTCAACATTTCAATATTCCCAATTGTCTTCTCATGAACACAAATACGATCTGTTGGACCGACTCGATTCGATAAAAACCACGATTTCTGCTTAAGACACACACTTTTGTTCACCCAATTGGTTCATAATATCAGCAAAAATGATGGACATCGATGCTGAGACCGACCAGGCTCTTAGGGGGCAACTCAGCGTGATAAATTCGGCTCTTGATTTTGATGAGGGACGCGAGCCCTTACAGGTATTGGAAGACCTGAGGGCCTCAACCCGAACCCCTCTCAATAAGCGCGTGCCGTCCAAACTAAGGCCGGTACAAATCCTAGACTTGCCTACCGAACTATTAATACACATCTTCAAGTACATGGATGAAGATATACCCATCGACGATGCATCACACGACAGTTGCCGAGATAGAATTGATATAATAGGACCTATCCGGTTAACATGCCGCCGTTTCAACGCCATCAGTTCCCACCTCCTCGCACCTCATCTTTACGTTAGCATCACAGGCCCATCCTTTGCCAGTTTGGACAAGATATCACGCCACCCCCTTATATCCAAAGGCGTCAGGGGCATCGTGCTTCATCTAGGCCCATTTTACGACTCGACCATGGCCTATGACATCCAAGCTTTTGCTGCGTATCACGCATCCAAGATGCGCCGAACATTAGTTGGATGGCGCATTGATTTCAGAGATCTTAGAGCGGAGGGTCGGGAGGAGCACGCGTTGGAGCTTCAGAGAAATATCGCAAGAGCTATTCCTCTAGCCGAATCATGGGAGGCATTAGCCGCTTCGGGCTTTGATGCAAACTGCCCCAATCATCTCATGTTATCAAAGGCCCAACACCGATATTTACAGCTCTATAAAAATTACGAAGACCTTTCTAAATCCTTCGTCCAGGCAATCATCTCGGCGATGATGCGAATGCCGACTGCGATATGGATCAAGGTAGATCAGCACAACAAATCCGAGAATAATTTCCTCGTACAACGCCTCTTTTACAAGAATTATATGCAGTATATGATGGATTATCTCGTGTGGAGTATAAAAGAGTCGGATGCGACAGACCACGGAGCACAGCCCTTACCAGTGAATCTCATCATCGAGTTGTTAACTTCGATACAACGGCTTAGGATCCCTCTAAAGGGATTTCATATGGAAGATATCCTGCCAGCAACTCCGATCTCAACCTCGAACACGGGAACTATACTGAAGCCAGCAATGCCTCCTATCGGTTTCAAGGAGCTAGAAGCCGTCAGAATCCGTCCGAATACGACAGACTGCGCTCGAACCTGGAATGTAAGACATGAGGAGAAATGGGTTTATTTCACCGATTTCCTATCTCATCTCCTGCATGCGAAGTCCCTCCGAAAGATTGAAATTAATTTCAAATTTCTCGTGCGCAAGCATAGCCCTTCGCCAATGGTCAGCATGGCCTCCCCCCTCATATCGTTCACCTGGCCCAACTTGCAGGAATTGTATTTCGAAGGGCCGTTTCATTATTATGAGCTCGAGGCTGTAGTGAAGCCTCTCGGGCGAGACGTCAACCTACAATGGAGTGGATACTTAATAAGTGGCTCGTGGACCGACGTTCTCGACGTTCTACAAGGACGCAATTCGGCGAATCAAACGCTTGGCGGCTCGCGCCATGCAATTGAGGGGCAAGAATGTAGTGAAATGTTGTCGACCGTAAAAGATCTTATCTTTGGGGGGACGTGTGGGGACGGGGGCCTGGCGAATCGGTATATTTGGGGAGAGCTACCAACCAATCCAGTGAGAGATTGGGTGGTTGCTGAATTAAGCAAATTAGATTCGGAAGAGGAGGACGAGGACGAGGACGAGGACGATCAGTACGATCAGTACGATCAGTACGATCAGTACGAAGAGTACGACGAGGAGGACGAATACGACGAGAACGACCAGGGCGATCAGAACGACGAGCACGACGAGTACGACGAGGATCTGCAATGAGGGCCTGCTGCCAAGGATGACAGATTGAAGAGGTTTATTTATCCTTGGGTGGAGTGGACATATAGAATTCGCGACGATGTAGTTTCTAGTAAATTAAGGGCCTATACCCTTCGGGATTCATATCAATAGCATAATTTATAGGATATCGTCCACCACCTACTCTTTCTGAATGTCATAGAATTCGAGTTGCTTGTAGAGGTCTAATGGAGTAAGTAGCACAGTCATATGGGCTGTAAGAGGGAATAGACGTAACCAATTCAGTTTCTTTCGTTGGTTTTAATATGATCGATATTGGTAAGATTCTGATGACCCTTTGCGTGGATTGAGAGAGGGGCATGGACAATTGTTCTGACAAGATCGGAACGTTTGAAGCCGACTAGTTGGCGATACTCGCCGTATTATGTGAAAAGGTATCCCGGTATGAATCCCTTCCCTTTGCGGATTCCCTGGGCGTTGCTATGTATCTCGCTATCTGATGAAACGTCTGGGCACTTGTTGCAAAACACCTTGTTTGTAAAAGACTAAACGGACTGCTCGCGAGAGAGAAGACTTTGGCTCAAGATATAAAACATGCTCATACATACCATTCCTCGCTAGCATCGTGCTCAATTGTGAAGAAATACCCACTCCCCCTCATCTTTCGATACTTGGAAGATATCATTGTCAATAGACGCAAGAAGGAAAAACCCTAGCACTGACCTGACTACACACGGTTTCTGGGTGATTGCATCTGTAGGGATCTTGTTGTTGATAACTTGCTCAGGCTTACCACACCATTAGAGGATTTTGGGCTTCAGGGCGACATATATTCCGACTTATTCCTAGGGGCAATAACCTCTCCGCTACTTCGGTCATGGCCCAAGCATGCCGGAACATCCTCAGGCGAATGTACAATGAAGGGCTCGCCGAACTTGATTGTCTTGAGAGCATGTCCACAAAGGAGTTGTAGATGGTATTTTCTCAATCGGCATGGGCACCGACTCTTCCCAGCTCTGCTTCGCAATGATAGGGGTACGCAAATTTGGGGCATTCCGTCTGAAGGTGTCGGCATTGTTTCATTCTCTCCGATGCCGTAGCTCGTCGGCGATCACAGTATCGTGTTTCTCGGTCTGTTAGACGGGCAGGTAAGTCGGATTGGCGGGGCGGGAGCACAAAAGGGAGGCGTTGCTGCACATTTTGCTATCTTAACAGCAATTGTCAGTGGTTGCAGTTTTATCTGTCGGGGCCATTTGGTTGTACGGTTTAAACAAACAGACAAGGAGAAGCCGGCAATGGAGCCATTTAGTCTCTCGGACCGAATGGTGGGGCAAGATAATATTAAGGTAGAGGATACCTATTGTGGCGAATAGCGGGGTATCTAGGTACAAGTGGGGTAACAACCCCTGCACAAAACCATAAGGAGAGGGGCATTGCGAGAGAAAAAAAAGAGAGAGAAAGAAAGAAACAAGACACAAAAATGTATCTTGAGATACTCCGAATCGGGGAATCGAACCCCGGGCGTGACGGCACTGTTATCTTCCATCTCAACCAAAGATTAAGAGGCAGGTGAGAGCGTCACATGTTAGCCACTACACCAATTCGGAGGGTATGCTGACAGCATGAATCGAACATGCGTTTGCTCGGCCACAACGAGCTGTACTAACCACTATACGATGCCAGCTTACAAAGAATTGAATCTCGGGAGAAACATGCATCAGCCGTGAATCGAACACGGGGCCCATCGATGGCAACGATGGATTTTACCACTAAACCACTGATGCTTGTTGTTGGATTGTCTGCCTTATACTCCCGCTATACCCATCCGTGGGAAAATGCCAGAACGCACCAATCATCCACCTAGTATGGGTGGGTACCTGTAAGTGCCTACAGTGTATAATAGTTAGTTCCAGTCGGAGTTCTAACGCAAGTGCATCTAACACCGATCTTGACTTGCCAACGCTCGATTGGCCTCAATCATGAATTTCTCTATGGATGATGTTAGCTATAGTTTGTGTCGTGTTAGCTTTAGCGTCGATATCGACGTCTATCTACTGGGCTAAACTTCTAATTTAGCTGTCGATACAGATCTGTGTTAGGCGGGTTGGAAAATCGATCCATCGTATAACGGCTTGGTTGGCGGGTGGTTTCGTTATATTGGGGGTATATGATCAGATTTGACTTCATTGGTATGGGGAACAGTTCCTTTTCTATTTCGTCCTCATGTGAAAAAGGCTTGGGTACTGGGCCAGCAAACGAGATGAGCTGATAAGTGACAGTAATATTAAGTTGCTCGCTCAGCTCCTGAAGACTAGAACTAATAACATTGACGAAACCCTTCGTCTATCCTACTGGCGCATTCGCTGGCTTTTATTCTACGTTGGGATATGCTCAACGTCATATATAACCTCCCAATGAACGACATGACAGACAGCAGGAACTTCTTAGATCTTACGTCGGATGCACCCTCTGCCGTAAGCATAAGTATCTACATATGATTAACTTGAAATGGCATAGCAACACGTAGAATCTCTTTGTGGAGAAGATATCCTTGAATCTGTTCCTTTCCCTACCTATTTTGATCTTCGTGCTAGTGAAGATGCGGCTAGTCATTGGATATCTTGGCGGGTGAGAATCTGGATGCCTTGACTTCACCGACTAAGTTACTTCGTGATCTTCTCGTTAGCACCCCAATCGACGTTCTTATAGAGACGGAATTGAGTTTCGACGCTGTAGCCGTACTGTTTGCTCAATATATAGACCCTAATGACAACCTACTACTAGCATCATGAAGTCGAGGGGGTTCAATGCTGCACTTGCGGCGCTGTATTTTGATATAATTTGTGCCTCAGGTCTCCCATGTAACGCGCCTAGTTTCGAGTCAATCTTGGAGACTTTGGGCAGCCTTGCAACCACCGTTGTTTATGCGACGAAAATTCAAGCAGGTGGATCGTCATTCGATCCCAGCCCAGAATATCCTGCCAATGCCACCAACCTACCAGAGCTATGTGCTGTCAAGATCAACGTCAAGTCGTCCGACACCACTTCGTACAACATGGGGATTCTTCTTCCGGGCCAGAACCATTGGAATAATCGGCTGATGGCTACAGGAAACGGCGGCTTTGGGGGAGGAATCAACGTATGTGCTGCCTACTCCAGTGCCCGGGGCAAGACTGACGGCTAGCAGTACCCCGACATGGGCGAATATACTCACTATGGGTTTGCGACTGTATCAACCGACACTGGCCATCTTTCGGATATTGAAGATAGCTCGTGGGCGCTGAATAATTCAGAAAGCATCATTGATTGGAGCTATCGTGCCCTCCATGGTTCGGTCGACCTGGCCAAGCAGATTGTTTCGACTTACTATAGCGACAACAAAACTACTACCGCATCTATCAAAAACTCATACTATACCGGATGTGCCACTGGTGGTCGCCAGGGTCTACGGCTGCTTCAGTTGTACCCTGAAGATTTTGATGGAGTCTTGATCGGCGATGCGGCTTGGCAGACTACTCATCTTCAATCATGGTCGACTTGGGTGCCACTTCAGAACTATCCCCCAGACTCTCCGTATCATATCGCCGAGGATCTTTTCACTTCGCTCACCGTGCAAATCACAGACCTGTGCGATAGTCAAGACGGCATCGCAGACTCAATCATCCAAGACCCGGCTGGTTGTAGAATAGATTACGCTGCGTTTCTTTGCTCGTCTCCATTGGCGAATCAGGCCGCTTGCTTAACTGAGTCTCAATTTGTTACACTACGGAATATGTTCTCTCCTTACACGATTAATAGCACGATCGTGTTCCAGGGCTTACCATTCGGAGCTGACCCCTCCTTACTTGCATCTGGAGCCAACGCCATAGGATATGGCTACTTTCAGAATTTCATCTACAACGACACCTCATATAACTTTACGTCATATTCGGAAAATGACTTTCTTTCCGCGGTTCGCATCGACCCAGGTCGCGCAACAGCCAATGACTTCGATATCTCAGGCTTCAAGGAGAGAGGGGGTAAGATCATCATGTACCATGGCTACGCTGATCCCCTTATTCCAGCCGGATCGAGTATCGACTACGTAAACCGTACTCTTGAGGCTATGAATATTGAAGAATCTGACCTGTCTTCATTCATACGACTGTTCATCATCCCAGGAATGAACCATTGCGTGTCTAGTGCACCAACACAGCTGGGCGCGCCGTGGTACATAGCAGCAGCATCGCAGATAGCAGGCATAGCCGGTAGATTGACCGGTGTGAGTAATGTTACGCATTCAGTTCCAGGGTACATGGATGCGAAACATGACTCTGTTCTAGCACTTATGAGGTGGGTGGAAGAAGGTGCGCCGCCGGATGAACTCATTGCCACGAAGTTCGTGAACGAAACGGCACCAACAGTGGAAAGCCAGAGAACAGTGTGTCCGTGGCCGAAGGTGGCGAGGTTCGTTCAAGGAGATCGAAATATGGCCGAAAACTGGGTTTGTGATTGAAATCAAAGGGCTGCGGGAGACTAGCCGGTTGAGCACAGAATCGGAATATATTGGCCCCGTGGAAAGAGGTTGTAAGATACAGCTCTTATTATGAAGTACACGTTACCGAGTTCTTGACGTCAGTGTCCACTATTATAGCCATACGCAAAAGCTTGTTTCGGGGATAATAGGAGCCAAGTAATTCAGCTTGCTCTTCCTGTCAAGTAGTGTATGTAGGTGCTTTTGCCAACGAGCGAACAAGGCGAGCCGGCGCGGCTTTTTGAACACTTGCCACCGCACTAGACAATCGGCAAGGCTGACTACTGTGTACCGTCATATCTTTACCCTTTGATGTTGTGCCTCATCTCACTTCGGGTTAACACAGAATCTCGATAATATTCATCACACATGTCCATATGTTGCAGCCTATCGTATCTAATGTAAGACTTCATGTAGCCAAATGACCGACGCTCGGAACCATGATCCGAGCCCGGAAGAAGCGGAGACACCGGTAGTACGCCTAGACGAAGCGTGGACTAAGCTGAAGTCCATCTACCCGGATAAGCCGTGGCACTCGTCGGAAGCGAAGCCAAAACAGGAACTAAGTACTAACCACCAGAACTTCGTGTCCCTTGCGGTGAAGGTGAATGGCTGGAGGAAGTTATTTCTCACAAACGAAGGGCTGCTAGGCCTGGGGGGTAGCTGGATGGAGGAAGGAGAAGTTGTCATGTTGGTAGAGAGCGGTTACGTGCCATATATATTTGGTCCTGCGGAGAAGCAAGCGAAGAAGCGCGTGAAGCACGTAGAAGAACAGCTGGAAAAGCTGGACAACGAGCCGCAGCCTCTACGGCAAAAGAAGGAGAAACAGTCGCAGATGAAGGTGCATCTGGACTTCTTGAAGAGCGGGATGGGAAAGCAAGATGGCGCGTGGACTCTTGTTAGCGAGGCATACGTACACGGCGTCATGCACGGAGAAGCCATGGACGGGTCACATGTTTTTGAGCCGATTGCTATCAATTAATCTTGTTGGGAGATCCTTGAAAATCCGAGCTCGTTCGCGTTGCTACGATGCCTTCCGTAGGCATTTGAAGGGGTCATGAGCCCGCTGCATAGTAACACTGCGATTTAGGAAAAGCCTAACGCAACCATAGCTCACGAGAACCCCAACCACCTCGAAAATCAATTGCTTCGTTGAGCGTTATGCTTATCTCAGCAGTTCAGAAGCTTGAGATGAATAGCTGTTTGCTAATCAGCGTGATGCTTGTGACGTAACAGGCTTGGTTTGTGAGTACCCCTCCTTTCACTCTACCTTACTTCCAATATCCTTCTCCCTAGCCCGGCACATATATCTTGACAACTACATGAATGCCTTTGCACTTACATATTCTGACGTCAAACTGTAATTTTGGCATCCAATGAGGCACCGTTCAACTCATCAGATACATAGCGAGTCCTGGGAGGGAGGCCGGCCTCTCCCCCGCTCCTCACTATATCCAATCCTAAACCCCGGCCTCGGGAATCTATAACCGAGTATACCACCTCAGTCTCATTGTCTTCTTAATTTCGAAAACTTCTCTCGTTGAAGATACATAACGAACGGCCTACACAATTTATGAGCGTGCATCCTTTCATTCTCACTATGGCGTCTCCAAACCAGCAAGAATCCTCATATTCGACACCCCAGTGGTGGAAAGAAGCTGTCGTTTATCAAGTTTATCCATCATCATTCAAATCCCACCAAGGTGCTACTACCGGGTGGGGTTCGATTAAGGGCATTACTTCGCGACTAGATTATCTCAAATCCCTCGGTATTGATGTCGTCTGGTCTTCACCGTTCTTCAAGTCGCCACAAGCCGACATGGGTTACGACATCGCGGACTACAAGGACATTGACAGCAAATATGGTACACTCGAAGACGTCGACAACCTAATCTCAGGGCTCCGCGAGCGCAATATGAAGCTAGTCGTTGACCTTGTCGTGAACCATACAAGTAACCAACACCCATGGTTCTTGGAGTCGCGCAGCAGCAAGGGTAATCCAAAGCGAGATTGGTACATTTGGAGAAAACCAAAGCAGAGCACAGGGAGCGAAGCTGGAGGCCATCGAGAACCCCCAAATAACTGGGCCCAAAT